TTTAAAATATTGTAGAATAAAAATTAATACAGAGAAAAAGTATTGTATTGCTAGAAAAAAAGGTTTTTCTCTACATTGTATTATGGATGATGACGAATAAAAAATTAGTTCAGCATAAAAAGAATGCACTTTATTCGGGAATAGAACTGTTGTTATAAATTGCTTAAAAATCCGTAAAATAACTGTGTTCGAGTCTAATGCCGGTAGATTTTTTTTTTCCGTTTTTGAGTACGGTAATGCAGAAAAAAAAATCCAAAAGAAGAATCCAACGCACGCACGTATTATATCGACGCGTGGGAGAAAGAAACAAACGGAAATTAAGAACAGAGAGGAAGACGAGCGATGAAGAAATTTCTCTCCCGAAACAATGAGTGACGCGGGGGACCGTTACCTTTTCCCATACCAAGAAAGAGAGACATCCGATGTTATACGGCCTCTGGGTGAAGTTAGCTCTTCTTTTGCTGGATCTGTTGGCTATACACACATGACAATATAATATATTCAAACGCAGGTGTGAGATCAATGCATGTGGACGCTTTGGGAGCGTAAGAGCAACGAGAGACGGCTTGGCTTGCGTTGGGACTGCATTTTAGCCTCTAGAGAGTGCTAATTGAGGTGTACATGAACGAGTTTACTTAGGTGCGAGCGAGAGATGAACCGGAGGGATATTTTAACGTTAAAACGAGATTTCGCGAGCGTGTTTGTACACGCGCGTGTGCCAATGATGTCATTGCTGCAGCTGAGGAAAGACACGGAGAGTTGCTTTATGGTAGACATACGAGTTGCACAGCCACTCGTCCGTGTGTGTGCACTGGTGTGAGCTGAGGACGTTATTGTGTCTTCAAGCAGAGTACCTGGTGTGAGTACAGTTTTCCAAAGGCTCGCGTTTGGGATGACCGTCTTCGGGAATTACACGGAAGAATTTGCCAACGAAAGTGAAATACAAATTCAAATGAACCGGATAATCCAAATAAATTCCAATATATCCCTGGAGACGTTTGGACGCTCCAGGCGTGCCTTGAAAAAAATTGTCGCTTTTTCTTTTTGTTTTGAAATGCTGGAAACCCACAGTCTCTTTTTTCTGTCTTTCAATAAATAAATCACTGCCAGACGGACCAAAAAATGATCCCTTGTGTATGAAATGGCACCGCAAGCGACGGCGAAAACAAACGTTAGAAACTGATGGCGTGTGCGACGCTTTGTATTTATAAGTACAACCCAACCATGCAAGTACGCAAATACATCATCATTGTCGACGCACACGACCGTATTGTGCATGGACACCTCGTCGAAAGAGAGACAGGCGTACTAAAAAAAAAAAAAAGAGAGAAGAGAGACAAAAAAAAAAGAGTGTACACGGAAGGCTCAATCTAATCGAGTGTCAGGCCTTTTTTCGTCGTCACGTTGCTGGTGCACGTCGAATTTCAATCACACCGCACAGCCACGGTCCGTGTGTTGGGTGTACATACAGCCATCCTCCGTAATATAATACGACACTCGACGACGATAATAGTGCATTTGCATCTGCCGCTGTCTCTCCCGTACGACCCATTGTCTCGGCTAATTTGCGCTCAACCCCCCGACTCAATCTCTTATACCTCGCACGCTTTGACAGGGCATGTGGACGAGTAATTAGCTGTTCCCACCGTTTGCTCTAAAGAGGCTCTCGTTTGCGTATACTCATAGGATTAAGGGATGGACCAAAGGTGCCTTTTTTTTAATGGACGTACGTGTGTTTACCGCAAGTGCTCGGTTTTACACGAGAGCATCCGATCTTTGGCGAGAAAGCATCTTAGAGATCGTTGGATGGGAGGGGGGGGAGGATGATTGAAAGTTCCTTTCCTTCGCCCCCGCTATTTCCGGCTGACCGTAGAACGCAACGAAACGAAAAACAAAACCAACGCTGCGATCCTCTTTTGCAAGCAAAGCGACCACCGCGAGAGGCCTCTTACGCAACCCACCTATTCCTCTCATCTCTTTCGGAGAGAAAGAGGGAGATCAAACAAACGACTACGCGAAAAAAAAGCGCGTCATTCAGATTCCTCGGGTGCGTAAGCGCGGCTAATTGCCCTCTCGCGAGCCGTTCCAAATTGCTTTTACTGCCCACCCGGCCGGCGTTAAACAACAGACTCCGAGGATTTTACCGTAAAAGGCCGCTAAAGAAGCCCGACATTGTTCGAACGCGCATCGTATAACGTGTACGTGCATCGGCGCGAGGAGCGAAGACGTGGGTCGAGGGGGGAAAAACTCTCTCGGCTGCACTTGACACTTTAAATGCTTTTGGTACATACATACGGATGGTTATGACTTTGCTCTCTCAGAGACCCACACATACTTACGACAGAGAGAGAGAGAGAGTGATCGTTTGGCGTTACGTAAGAGCTGTCGTAAAAAAAAAAACAAACAAAAAAACTCGAGTCTTTTTTTTTTTCAGTAGAGTAGGATTTTCTAGCGGATATAATCGAGTTGGGTGACATTCGAGACGCGCAAATGTAATTCTCGGTCAAGGGAGAGGAAGCGAGCTGTAGGATATTACGCGCGCGGCAGCGGATGATCGTTTTATTTTTCTCTCCATAAAGCGTGTCGCAATATGTATACCTGTGGAGCTCGACGTCTTTTTTTTTTTTTTTTTTCTCAACGGCACGCGTGGGCGCAGCGAAATTCACACACACGTATACGCGAGAGTGTGGCTCTACCTTTCGACTTTTCTCATTATCGATTCCTGCCGATCGCGCCGAGGCGTTTATAGAACGCCTAATGGGAGGGAAAAAAAAAAAAAAAAAAAAATTACGTACGGAGCGAGCGGGCGGAATACATTTGCGAGCGCGGTCGACCGTAACTTTTGAGATGTGTATTATGATGTGTTTCATACGTACGTGCGCGCGCGCACACACACGGGCGTTCGTATTTTCTTTTTTTCGAGGTGAATTTGAGTGTCCCACACACTTGGTTTTTTTTTTTTTTTTTTTTTGTAAGGTCACTCTCGAGGAATTTCCTTTTCCGATAAGTCACGCGCTCGCGCGAAGGATAGGCATTTTTCTTGCGATAACATTCGATCGAAGCGAGAAATTAAGAAATAAGTAGGTTGCATTGTTCTTGAGCGTTTTGATTTCGTTACTCGAATGAATTTTAATTCTTTCGAAGCGAAAGGAGGACTCAACGGCGCGTGCATTAATCGATTCTTTGTGTTGCTATGATTGTTGATTCGCGCAACAAGCTGCACCCAAAACCGGAGGAAAGAAGTATTCATCAACGTTACCCTTAGGTTTGCACTTCTTCCGGCGCACAATGATGGAACAATAAAAGAGTTTACTTACATTTCGTACTTGCTTTGTAGAAGGTCGCAGATAGGAGCGAGCAAGATGTTGCAGAAGTCTAGATTCCACATCGCACTGTAGATAAAAATTTTTAAAAAATTTCACTTGTGAAGCAAAAAAAGGCTTTGTCTTCAAGAATCAGTTCAATAATGACTTACGGCTTCAGCACAAGAACTCCCAAGAGATCGACAACCACGGAAAGGTCGTTCATCGCGACTGCCGAGTCCACAGCCGACTGAAGATGCGAAATTGATGTTTAGCGTTATGTATGGTAACTTGGAAAAAACTTGCTGAAAGATTAGGTGTGAAAGTTTACCTTCATGTCTTTGCTCTGCGACAGCGAAAAGATGATCTGGAGCGATCGATGACGACTAGTGAGCACGGCCATCATCGAATCGTGGCCACGCATCATTGTGTTCAATACTTCAGCCTCCGACATCTCGGCAAACACTCCCATCTGCGCGTACTCCAGCGATGTCTGGCCGGAATAATTTTTCTGCGCACACACGACAACACAATTAATATGCAACAGCTCGTCGCCGATCAATACCATAGATTAATTATGCCTTTGAAAACAGTCCCATCTCCACTCCTATCCGTTAAACACGGGGGCAATTTCGATCGTTTATTCAGATTACCTACCGGTAGGAACGAGTCTACGTCGAGGCCGTAGGGCTTGTCGGCTGTCATCGATATGAGCTCGATTTCTTTCTCTTGCGTCTCTTGCACGGAAGGTTTGAGCTGAGCCACCCGAATTTCAGTTTTTGGATTAGGTGCGACTTGAGCCTTGTTGGGTGGCCTTCGCGCCAACGCGGGCCCATTATTGCTATTGTGATGATTACGGGCCGACAGTGGGGTCGACGCCACGAAATTACGTCCGATCGAGCGCGCCGTGTTCGGCCTGTTTAGCTGCGGATCCGAGGGACTGTGCTTCAAATTGTGAATTCTGAAAGTAAAAAAATATTTACTTTTGATTACGAAACCCCGGTTTCACTAGCCTTCGCATTTATTATTTCTTCATTAGTTGGATGATAATATACGAGGCAATGACGCTTTTATCGTCAAAGTGCTTTTCAATGGAAACGAAATAAAAACATCGATGTCTCAAGAAGCTGCACCGACGAATCTATGAATCATTGGCAATACGACGAACGTATCAAGTTCTTATCAGTCCTGAGTCAAACGATACTTCAAAGAATCGATACCATTGTCATGGCCAATAATTAAGATTGTTCTTTGAACTAAGCGTTTTTGTCTGTACGATCTTTCCTATCATCAAACACATCGATACAAAGGCGAAACAAAACAAAAACTCACTTGACGGGATAATCGCTCTCGTAGCCCTGCTCGCCGTTGTCCTTGCTAGTCTGCCGCTTGAGCAAGTGCTTCGGGTAATCCGGACTGTTGGCCCTGTTTTTCAGCTTACCGTCGTCCATAACCGGCGAGACGGCGGCCATGGGAGCGTTCCTCGGTGTCAACGTGGTGTTGGATCGCTGAGGTCCCAGGGGCTTTGGTGGCGGCATCAACGAGCCGCTTACGCTGCCACGCTTTGTTCCGGCCGTCGATAGATTCGTCGTCGAGGCCGAGAGGTTTTGTCGTAGCGGCGGCACCGGAGCCAGGTTTTTCGAATTTTTAGTCGCTTGTAAATTCGCTCTGCAACACGAGACGCTATCATGATTAACGTCACGTAACACCGGATAAACGAAAGCGTTTGGTGGTTACGGTTTTTCACCTTATCTGACTCGTTGACGATATCGGCGTAATAGGATTCCTCTGTATCAATGGCGTCGACTTGATCGGATGAACACGAACTGGCGCTGGCTTGGTCAGGGATACCGAGGGTGACGTCGACGACATGTTATCGTTGTCCTCGGTGTCGACGCTTAGCAAACTCGACATCGAATTCGACAAGCTACGAATCATTTGTGTCTGCAGCGGTTCTAAAACAATTACTTTTTTTCATTAATCTCGTGTATTCAACTCGCCAACGGATGGTTTAGTTTTCATTTTTTTCGTTTATTTGAATTTTGTTAGATGAATGAGCTGAGGTATGAGACTTGAAACATCTAATCTATGGACAGATGAAATAAACACAGGCTAAACAAAATGCTTCTAAGTAAGTTGATGATTAGCACACGTTAACAGCAACATTATATCTTTCCACTTGAATCGTTCTAATATTAAAAGGCAGCTATAGAGAGCACGCAGCAGATAGAAAAATGATCTAATATTTAAAAAAGAGACAACAGAGTAAGACAGAGAAAAGGAAAGGTAACACCCATAGATAATTATTACCTGGCTCTTCGGAAGGCTCTGGGAAAGCCTCAGGCAGCGGTGGCGGAGTGCGAGTTACTGAAACAGATTGTGCATGGCGCATGCTTACTCAGAAAATCTCTAGCGTCGAGCCTTGGCTTTTGCAAATTCACTTATTAATTGTATAACAAAACCATAGAGAACGATAAATATAAGAATTTGAAAAAAAAAAAAAAAAAAAAAAAAAAAAATTAAATAAAAAACAGTGTATTCTGTTAAAAAGACAAAAGGCATGATTTTGCCTCTTCGAAAGTTATGCATGAGCGCTGCTTTGGTAAATCAGCAATCGATGATCTTCGTTCTTCATGCAATGGTATAGAAACCTGCAGTTTAGTCGAGTGCAAATGATTGCAACTATAATAAATTGCTAACTTTGTTGGGTGCGTTAAATTATATTCCTTAAATAATGTATTTGTAAACTTTTAGCAGGTAAAAAAATTATTGAACAAAAACCATTGACGCACCACGTAAAACAGTACGTATTACCCTACACGTCGAAAGACAGAACGTTGAAGTAACGAATAATGATCACATCGCGCTTTCACATGTAACGGGCAGCAGCGATGAGAAATAGAGCGTACAAGGGACACGTAAATACATACACACATACGTACATGGAATATGAAAATGAAAATAAGCAGATGCAAGTATAGGCACGATATCAAAGTATGAATAAAGCCGTACCTTTCTTCCCGACTGACGTCGACTCCGATGGTGTGAAGTGGTGCCTCCACGTTGGACTTGATAACGGGAGCGAAGTTTCGCAGTATTATCCTCAGCGCTGAGCCCCCGACCGTGACGTACCTGGGAAAATAAAAATAAAAGACAAAAATAATGAGTACAGGCAGTTCCGTGGACTGGTAATTTTATCGATTTCATGATTTATTTATTTCTTTTTTTTTTTTACATAAAATCTTACAGTAAAAGTTAAGTACAAGGTTCGCAACATCATAA